TTTAATAGGTAGACCACGTAGATTATCCTAAAAAATAATCTATGCATAATTAATGCTTGCATTACTAATCTCTGCATTACTAATACACCCAATTCAACATTATTCTTATACACCCTACCAAATGACCTTTTAGTATTCAGATCTTAATACACATCTTAATATTCAGATGTGTATTCAGATTTAAATATCTTAATCTTAATACACATCTTGATATTCACGTTCAGACGTCTTAGTGTCAAAAATAAGTGAGGCCTTAGTATCCATTTGCCCGTGTGGATTAGTTGATTTGAAGTAGCTGATAAGCATTACGTGCTGAAAAGCACTTTTAAGTGCTAAAACTGATTTAATAAATAAGCAGTTACGTGTTTGGGTACAAGTGCTGAAATTGATAATAAGTTGCTGCAGTATTTAATAAAAAAGTGTTGATAAACTCTTTTTCTGTTAAAACAACTTAAATAACTTTAGGTAGTAAAAAATACTTAAGGCAGTGAGTATGAATGTAGGAATTTTATTCTAAAAGGAATATTTTAAGAATAAAATAGTAAAAATCTTGGTCAAACTTAAAGTGCTTATAAGCTAAAAATTCAAAAGCTGGGGTTGACCAGCTTAATAAGCACTTTTAACTTTACCAAATGCGTAAATAAACCAAAAAGTACTTATAAACTAACCTCTTAATCCCTGCCAAACTAGCTTCTTCATTAATATACGTTTTTTTTTTCTTCAAAAAAGAGTCCGAACTATGTGACTAAAGAATCTTTAGTGATGCGCAAAATTTTTCCAACAATCTCTGATTATCAGTATGCCACTGACAAAGCAAGGCACATGTGGATCTGGTCGGGTCAGTACATCATTTGCCCTTAAAAATTGGTATTTTTACCTTCCTATACGTTATTTATACATTATTTAATTTAGCAATTTCCTTAACAAATTATAATGGGCTGGGATGGGTCAAAATAAAGGGAGAAATTCAAAAAGGGAAACTTACAAAAATGTCCCAAATAAATCTCAACTTACCAACCTCTAGCCATTAGTCATAAACTTACCAAAACTAGCCAACAAAAATTGAAAAACCAAATAATAGGGTTCTTTCTCTCAAAGAATCACATGCAAAAATCACCTTTCATATTTTTAAGTGTGATTAACAACATTAGATACAAGACGGAAAAGAAATTTCATGGACGGGGTAGCAAATAAGGTGATGAAATACAAAAATCTATACAAATATTCCAAAAATCTAAACAAAAAAGGAACTTTTTCTATGGGTATAGTTAAAATTCATTGAAAATATATAGATAAGTCAATATACAAAATTTGAGGAAGATTGGAGGTGATTTGGACTGGTTTTGTATCAAATTCATAATTAAATCGAGTTCAAAAAAGTCTTCTGCGATACATGTATCAAACATGTATCACGCATGTATCTCACACACAAGTATACATGGATATATATGTGATACACAATTGATACAAATATGATACATATGTGATACACAAATGATACAGAGCGTGATACACATATCATTTTTTTCATGTTCAGCTTTTACTTCGAATTTTCAATTCAAACCACCTCAAAACTTCACCAAATCATCTGAAAACTGAGATTCAAGCTCCTTAAGTTGTGCCCAATCTATTCTAATAACACCCACTCAAAACAAAGCAAAAATTTGATATTTTTTTGCTACAAATAGGTAATTGGCTAATTTGGCTAATATTAGTAATATTTTATCAATTGGCCAATTTTTGTAATGAGCTACCTATAAATGGACATAGCTGGTAATTTCCCATTCAAAAATAGTTAGATTTACAAATGGTCATTCAAAAATAGCCACAATTTCAAAAGTAATCGAAATTTAGTTATTTTTCATGTAAAATAAATCTGAATGAAGACACTGTTTAAAATACGGAAAAATACTCCAATATAATATACTGAAGTTCCATTATATTATACTAGAGTTTCAGTATAATATAACAATCCAGCGTAATATACCGGAGATTGGAGTACCGGTGCACCGATCTCCAATATATTATGCTGGAACTTCCGTGTTGCAGCAAAATAGTAGCTATTTTTCAATTACTTTGCAAATTCTGGCTATTTTTGAAGGAATTTTTACATTCCTATGCCGTATAGGAAACTATATTACCCTCAATGTTTAAGGTTTGATATAATTACATTTAGTATACCTAATTACCAATTCTATACCATAAGGCGTTTTAACTGTACATAATTGTACCTTATATCACTCCTAAATTTATGGTACCTTATATTCCTCCAAATCCCCACCCCCCATATTTCTATCTCCCAACCCCACACCCTCACCCACGTATCACCACACACCCACGTCTCAAACCATTATTCCCTCTACTAAAACCAGAAAAATAATTGAAACCCTCTACCATTAACATCCAAAATCAAGGTTTTTTCTTCTACAACTAGTCAAAATTGAAGTAAAATCTTCAAAGTTCATACACAACAATAACTTTTGATGGTTATGATTTCGGGTTCCTTCAGTAATATAAGAGGAAAGGAAAAGAGAGCGGCAATTCCACCATTGACAGCCATTAAAAAGCTTTGAAGCTTTGAATTCAAATTTGAATTTTCAAAAATCATTATTTGTTTGGATTGGGTGTTGTTGTAAATATTTGGGAATATGGTTTGGAGTTTATATCTCAATTTTGAGGGGTTTTGGTGAAGATTAGACTTGGTTTTGGCTGAATTTCAGATTGAAACTCGAAGAAGAAGAAGAAGAAGAAGACATGACATACATTATATTGCAACAATTGTAGACAAATTGGAGAAATATTGTAGAAAAATTGTAGACTGTTTTTTATTTATTTTTGAGCTTTTGTGTTTTTGTGTTAAAAGTTTTGATGGGAGCTTGTTATTCCACTTCGTCTATTTTGGAGCTAACTTGTGCAGATGAGAAGATGTATTTTAAGTTATATATATTGCTATACCTTTAAATTCAAGAAAGTATGGTTGTATTGTATTTAAAGAGGCGTGAATTTGTAGAATAGGTTGAATGTGAGGAATAAGTCAAATAAAACTCACAATGGCTTGTTTTCTATATTTAATCTACAACAAAACTACATATCATTTGAAAATTAATATGAAAATATAGAATTTCAATGTTTCTGCAAATTATCTACAAAATTTCTACAAACTGTTCATAACAGAATTTATCTTTATTTTTATGCATGTTCGTCTGGAACACTAAAGTTACTTGATATGCCAACATCTCTCGTTATAGAGGAATACAACTTATCTATAATTTTCTACGACTTTCACACATTATTTTCACCCAGTTAAATATAACTACAATAACATAAAATTTGAGCTTTGTGTTTTTGTGTTAAAAATTTTGATGGGAGCTTGTTATTCCACTTCGACTGTTTTGGAGCTAACTTGTGCAGAGGAGAAGATGTTTTTTAAGTTATACATATTGCTATACCTGTAAATTCAAGAAAGTATGGTTGTATTGTACTTAAAGAGGCGTGAATTTGTAGAATAGGTTGAATGTGAGGAATGAGTCAACTAAGACTCACAATGGCTTGTTTTCTACATTTATGCTACAATAAAACTGCATATCATTTGAAAAATTAATATGAAAACAGAATTTCAATGTTTCTACAAATTATCTACAAAATTTCGACAACTATTCATAACATAATTTATCTTTATTTTCATCTTTATACAAAATTTATGCAATATGTCTTTTATATATTTTGTATCTGATTTATACATATTAAAAATAATTTTCATACAACTAATTATATATTATACAACTTATCTACAAATTATCTACAATTTTCGTACATTATTTCTACTAAGTTATATACAACTACAATATAATACCACTTAAATATAATTTTTATACAATGTTGTTCAACTTTCATACAATAGTTAAATGAATTAAAGAAAAATAAATAAATAATAGAATACAAATTTTCTACAATTTAACTACAATTTTTCTACAATTTCTGCAATATAATTTATGTCATGTGTTCTTCTTCTTCTTCTTCTTCGAGTTTCAATCCGAAATTCAGCCAAAACCAAGTCTAATCTTCACCAAAACCCCTCAAAATTGAGATATAAACTCCAAACCATATTCTCAATTATTTGCAACAACACCCAGTCCAAACAAATAATGATTTTTAAAAACCCAAATTTGAATTCAAAACTTCAAAGCTTTTTAATGGCTGTCAATGGTGGAATTGCTGCTCTCTTTTCCTTTGCTTTGTGTTACTGAAATTTGGACATAATTGCGTTTGATGTAGAAGAATTGTAGAAGATTAGTCGTTTTTGATTTGTGAATTGTAGAAGAATAATCAATTCGTTTTTGAATTGTAGAAGAATAATTGCGTTTGATGTAGAGACGCTAAATTTGAAAGAAAACTGACGAAGAAGATTAATGTGCGTGATTTGCGTTTGGAAGATCTGGAAGAATATTTAATCCCCCAATTTTAGCGTGCCTAAATAAGGAATCGTACAACTACAATGATTCCTTATTTAATGTATGATCTATATTTTGTAGAAATACTATTAGCATGAAGGGTAATATGCAAACTATGAACATATTTAGTAATATAGTTTTCTATATGGTATAGGAAGGAAAATTTCCCATTTTTGAAGCCCGTACTACTTTTACCAAAATAAAAGCTTTAGAGCCCGTTTGGCTTAGCTGATTTAAAGTAGCTGATAAGCATTAGGTGCTGAAAAATACTTTTAAGTGCTGAAGCTGATTTAAAAAATAAGCAGTTACGTGTTTGGATAAAAGTGCTGAAATTAATAATATGCAGCTGAAGAACTGGATATACGAAGAGTTTTGTTTTAAAAAGAAGTATTTTAGGGATAGAATAGTAAATATTTTGGTCAAACTTAAAGTGCTTATAAGCTGAAATTTGATAAGTTGGGGGAGACCAACTTATGGCTTTTGGCTTATTTTTGGCTCATAAGCACTTAACTTATAAGCACTTTTAATTTTACGAAACACCTACATAAGCTAAAAAGTGAAACACCCTCTTAGTCTAGGTTTTCACCTCCATAGTCCATATACGCAGTCTCCGTTGGCCAGGGAATTTTCTTCCCAAAGGCCAAAGCCATCACTGATTCATCGAGAGAAATCATTGCCTGAGGAGGATCGACAGGAGACAGTATGTGTTTTATTTATTTTTTTGGGATAACTTTTTTTTTTTTCAATTTAGAATATAATCAGATTTGATCCTTTGGAAATTCTTTAAGATGTGCGGTATTCTTTGGACTTCAATAGAATTTCAATATATTCTGTTTGCAAGTCAATTATTCCTATTTAGAAGATGGGCAAAACGTAAATCCTCATGTTTTACTTTGCAAATGCATTAGTAAATAATTAACTCCTGGTTCAGGGTAATTTTCAACTCTAGATGTATCATTTGTGAAGGAAACAAAATACAAATTAGCACTTATTATTGTAAGCCCTCATCATTGATCTGAATGCAGATATTGGATCTTTGGAGATGCGAACATTAGCAGTGTCCTTGTTGTGGCAGCAAAGTTTGGATAGGGCTAAGAATGGCCTCCACTAAACCAACTTGCTGAGCTTGAAATGCTAAAATCTAAGGGCCTCAACCCAATATGTTAATTTCAATAGACATTGATGAAGCTGAGTTGACTTTTCAAAGATTTGAAATATTTATGCAGATGTGGACGAGGGAAAACTGTTGTGATCGCATGAGTTTATTTGATGAAGTTTGATAATGATTTGATGGAATTCCTTGTTTTGCGGTAGCAACGGTCGTCCAATTTACGTCTCAAATGTTTCTAATATCAACTTATCAACTCAGACAAATATCTCATTTGATTTGTCTGCATTGAATCATTATTAAATTTACATCTTTGTCTGAGTTGATAAGATGATCCCTGAGACATGTATACTCTATGAAAGATTTCTCAAGATGGTCTCCATTGCATCGGTGGCTTCAAAACAAGGGATTTTCATCAGTTCATTTTGGAACTTGATATTGAATAAACTTGTGTTGAGAACCGACAGTTTTCTTTTTCCAAATTTGTATAAATGTTTGATTTTTGAGAAGTTAACTCCAGCTTCATCAAGCTCTCTTGCACTTGAACGTGAAGATATGTTGAGTTCCTTAGTTTTTGTCATCTCTTTGGATGTAAACATTTGCAAACGAATTACTTACTTGCAACAGGCTATCCGTGCTCACCATCACACGAGAAAGCTCAGCTCACCAACTGACTCGTCAATATAAGGTACCTGTCATAATTGCTGACTTACCAGCTTTTACATCTTAATTAGTTATTCTTTTAATTCTTGTTGAACTCAAAAAGGGGGAAGATAGTAACAATTTATTACAATTAAATGAAGAAGCTAAAAAGAAGAATGACAAAGAATTCCTCCATTGTAGAAGTATTGTGGAAAAGCTGACTATATTGCTTTCAGTGGCTGGTGAACCTTTCAAAACTGGCAAATCTACTTTTATCTTATTGTTGAATGCAATACTCAAAAATGTACAAGTGACTACTGAAACAGTAACAAAAGAAATAAAAGAGGAGAGGTTTCCCTTGCTGGTATATAATGGTATTGAGATTCTTTTATTCAGTAATGTATTTATTGTTTCCTTGTGCTTTCAAGTAATGTTGTCTTTGCTCAAAGTAACGCTTAATTCCCTTTTACCTGTTAGTTGAAAACTGAACCTAATACAATTTGCTTCAGGGGCTATGATGCCATAAAAGTTATCCAAATCTTTCTGCTTTGTACTTGACATCAAAGGTATATTGATCACAAGAGCTTACATTACTCTCTTGAATTTCTGATTTTTTTGTTCTGTACATGGTGATATAATTCATCAATGAGCATGAAAAGGATACACTCGAACATCTGATTACTGCTATGTTATCGTGCCAAAAGAGTTTCATTCACATGGATTGATACAAGTCACTGAGGATCCAAAAGATGATCTGGTATTAATTGATATAATGGCTCTAAGTTGGAAGATCTGCATAAGTTATTTTGGCTAGCCCATATTGTCTATACGTTTTTTCAATATATTTTGCATATATTGTTGATGAAATTTGTGCCATTGTGTATATTTGTTACGCCAGATTTTAAGGTTCTATGTTTTGTTCATACTGAAAGACAATTATCTTCAAGAAAGACGATTACTCTGAGGCAAGCCAAAGGAAATAAAAAATGAACTGCAATAGGTCCAGCGTGATGTTGATCCTGAAGGCCATTTGGTGTGTCGAAACTTGGTTCTTTCAAAACAATTTTATGTCTACCTAATCAAGTTTGGTAATCTAATCGGATGTTTACCTAATCAAGTTTAGTAGTCTATTAGTATGAACGCTCTTCCTTGTTGCTGGTTCGTTCGACTGGAACTGAATTTCAGAAAGCTTGATGTTTGCACAATGACGTCCACCGTTGGGCCAATTCCAACACATTGAACACAAGCCATATTTGCCGTAAAAATAGCACGGGCTAGCCAATTTTTGGACTGATAATTGAAAAATAGCCACTATGTTGCTGAAACACAGAAGTTCCAGCATAATATACTGGAGATTGGTACTCCCAGTGGTGGACGCAGGATCTCCGGGAAGGGGGTTCAATTTTTTTTTTTAGCTAGTGTTAGTTGAACCTATGACCTTATGAAGGTTTTGAACCCCCTTGACCACTAAACTACAATTTTGGGTTGTGTTAAGGGGGTTCAAAACGTAAAAATTATACGGGGCGCCCTATTTGGTCGCTCCCATTTAACCTATACCCATTTTTTTTTAAGCTTTTAACTTGTACCCATTTTTTAAAAAACTTCAGCTCCCTTTATCCTCCTTCATTTTCTTTTTTCTTCTTCTCCCGTGGCCCTCTTGTGCGGTTTTTCTCTCTACTGGGTTTGCACCCTGTGGTATCATTTTAAACAATCGTATTGCTTCATTCTGTTATGAAACAGAACTTCTAACGAGAATTGATTCGTCGTAAACCAACCTTTGTTTGAGAAAACTCTCTGAGGGTTACCAAGATCAGGACCAAGTCCCATATTCACCAAATATTGACACATATCTTCCCATTTATTTAACAAATTACAGTGTTTCAGCATGTCTTAATTAAACTAGAACATCTTGATAGTGGGATTCCCCAGTTACAAAGACAAGAACTTCAGCTCTAGTACCTAATATTAATAGGTGGTAAAAAAAACTTCAGCTCTAGAGCTGAACTTTAGGCCCTGTTAGTAAAACTAGAAGCTTATTTGTTGCTGCTAGATCTCTTAGCTAGTTCTCTCATTTTGCAAGTGTTAGTAAAACTAGAAGCTTATTTGCCCCCTCCATTGTAACTTTTGTTTATTTGGATATGTGTGATGCCCTTGTTTGAAATGGTAGTTATTATGTTTTTCATGAGTATGTATTATACGATTACTTGACGTGTGAAAACTAGAGAAGCATGAATTAGCCTCTTGGTCGGTAACTGAAGTTGTCTAAGAAAGAACTTGTTCGCTCAAAAAATGTTACACATCTTACGAGTACAAAACAATATAAATTAATCCCGGGATAATCATAGCAAATCGTAATAATCCGTTGGACCAATTGAAAGAAATGAAAACAAGAACTCAGAATTAGGGGGAGAAGCATTAGAAACCTTTATTGATAATATTTGTTTGGTCTGCCTCTCCATGAAGAGGTTCAGAGCCTTACAATGGTGTTTTTCTCTTCCCATAAGAGGGGTATATTTTCTCGTTTCTCTCTCCTCTCACTAGTGGTGAAGAAGCCCCCCCATTCTAGGGCTACTGCTCTTCGTATTTATTAGATGTGAGCTTTGTGAGCTGGCAATAAATGGCCGTGGCCATGCTGAAGTTCCGTCCCCATGGGGGAATGACTGGGCCGTACCCTCGTAGATTAAATCGGACAAGAGTCGAGTCCTGTTACGAATAAAGTGGCCATACCACTTTATTAATTATGTATTAGCTCAGAACGAGATTAACTCCGTTAATTATCGTGGGGTCGGATTTTGACCCATACAGTTAGTCCCTCCGCTTATTGAGGTCGGGTCTCGGCCGAGCTCGATGAGCGGACTTCGTCGATTGTGATTTGAAAACAACTCGAATAACGGGGGTCGTCTTATTGGCGGCGGTGGCCTTAGCCGTTTACACGTTGGCGCTGGCCGTAGCCTTTCGTACATTGGAGAGCCTTTTATACATTAGAGATGGCCGTAGCCTTTCATATGTTGAGGTTGGCCGTAGCCTTTCATATATTGAAGATGGCTATAGCCTTTTATATATTGGAGAGTGGCCGTAGCCTTTTATATATTGGAGATGGCCGTGGGGAATGAATATGCGCCGAGTACGTATTTGGTCGTCCAAAATTTTAGCGGCGTACGACACATTCTTGCAGTGTTCACAGGTCGTAGCGATTTTTCTGGCGGCGGTATGCTGGCGGATGGCTGAGAAGCCGCTTTATGGAGCTCGTAATAATGACGCTTGTTACGACAGAACCGAACCGTTTTACGGTTGGTCGTGCAGTTAATGATGGCCATTGGGCTTCGCAAAAGCCATTTATGTTGCCTATAAAGGTGTGTTGAGGCATTTATCCCTCATATCTTCATTGTTCATCTAAGAGAGAGATTCTGAGGAAACTTTTTCGTTTTGCTAATTCATCTTCTCTTTTCTTTCCTTTGATTGTGACAACATTTGTCTTCAGTAGATCAACAATGGCAGTCAGTTCTTCTCACGGTGCTCCTCCGGTAGATTTTTCGGTAGTTGAAGGACCATCTCCGACAATGGGAGGTGCAGAACAGATGGAGTCCGGCGAAATCCCGTCGGTTGACGAGGTGGTTCCTCGGCCCAGGTCCGGCGATCGATTTCACCGTCGATGGTGGAGAGGAACCGGTGGATGAAGCCCCGTTGATGGGGGAAATCGGGATGGCCCGATTGCGGGAACAGGGTATCGTTCCTACCCATGCAGACATCGTTCTCGCTAGAAGCGAGGAGAGGGTCTACACCGACCGTAGGGGATACTGCATTTTTTACGCCTATCCTTTCAGGTTGGGGTTCAATATCCCGCTCCCAATGCTGGTGGTGGATTTCTGCCGTCATTACGGGGTGTGCCCAGGTCATCTCACTCCTTCCCTCTACAAATTGTTGGCGATGTTCATCAAATATGCGGAATTGGCCCGTAGGGAGGTCACGCTGCAGCACGTGCTGACTCTCTACGCTCCCCAGAGAGTCCGTGGCACCATGATTCAGGAGTGCCCTCGTGGGGCGAGGGGCCTGGTCACGAGATTGGATGACGAGGTCGACCCCCGCCCTTTCGAGCACTTCTTTTATATCAGGACCCAACACCTGGTGGCGGATGCTACTGGGTTCCCAGAGGCCTGGAACCATGCACGTAAGTTCTTTAGTGGTTGAATTCTTTTATTCCCCTCTTTATGATCTGTGCTTATGAGCGTTAACTCGTGTCTTTTTTGTAGCCGACAGGTCGCCGCCGCCCCCATTGCCTTGGATACGCGAATGGGTCGAGGCCGTACTCCCCCATACGAGGGGGATACGTACGTGGGCGTCTTTCTGGGAGAGGCATGGCCGTAGGCCTGTGGCAGGTAAAAAATTGGTCTCTTCTTCTGTTCCGCTTTGTTTCAGCTTTATTCATTAACATTGTTTTCTTGTGATTAGGGAGGGCGCGCCGCGTCAGGGCCCCTCAGTTGGCCTTCCGTCGGCCTGGTGCAGTTGCTCGGCTTACTGCAGCGCCAGTGTCGCGCTCAACACCGAGGGCGGCATCAGTCGAGTCTTCAGCGGTTTCTTCTCCATCACGGACCCTACTTCGGGACGAGGGGCCATCGGGGGTTGTGCGCCCTAGAGCGGAGTCGTCATCAGATGGGGAGGAGGAGAGGCCGTTGATAAGGCGTAGGGTCGCGTTCGCGTCGTCTCCTCCTGTGGTAATTAATTTGGACTCCCCGCCGGCGGACGCGGAGAGGAGTGCTGCTGCGGTGCCTGCCCCTGAGGGCGGACAAACAATGGGGGTTGCCCCGGTTGGCTTAGGCCGTGATGATACCGTCGCTTCGGCGGCTCAATTGGTGGTTCCAGTCGCTGAGACGGGAGGTAGTTCCTCAGCGGCTGCTAATGTGGGTGAGGAGGATGAGTCTGAATCCGACTTGGACCCCGACGACGTCCGTATGTTCCAGGAAGGCTCCACCAATGCAGCGGTGCGCGCAGAGGGGCGATCTCGTTTTATCGAGGTTCCCACGGAATTGAACTTATTGCTCCAAGGGGAAAGCTTGGTGCCGCAGTTCGAGCTGCTGTGCTCGGAGGCCGAGAATACGTCGCTGAGGGGCGTTACGGATGTCGGGCTGATGAAGGAAGTAGCCGTGATGAGCTTGAGGGTATGTACTGTTACGTCGGTTCGTTTCTTCTTTACCTTAGGTTTATTCTGATCGTTGTCTTTGCTTTGCAGTCTTATCTGTTGGAGGTGGAGAGCATCCGTCGAGCCAAGGTCCGTTCGGGGATTTTTGCGGGCGCTGGAGAAGTATCGCCGCTACCGGGATCAGTGTCGAGAGTTGCGGGAGTGTTTGAGGAACGATCCTCGTAGCCGGGCCTTGGTCGAAGAGCTGGCGAGGC